GGGTCAGTAAACGCATCATTAGGGTCAGTAAACGCATCACCAGGGTCAGTGAATGCATCACCAGGGTAAGTTAACACATTACCAGGGTTACTCTGTCAGACATAAAGGCTTTATGTTTATGTCTAACCCATGTTCTGCTCTCAGTCCACCAGGTGGAGAAGGTTTCTTTGGTGGAGGGCAGCAGGTCGGCTGTCCTTCCCTTTAAGTTCCCGCCTCCCCTGCTGGCTGAAGCCTCTGCTGTGGACTGGAGGCTGTCGGACCGAGGGAACAGGCTGCTCTGCAGATACTGCAGAGACCAGGACTCACCAGCACAGGGTCAGGCCCATGAAGGCCACATGATGAATGAAGACCTGATGACGACTGGAAACTGCAGCCTGACCATCAGGAACGTCTGTCTAACTAATGGTGTGTATATCGGCTCCGTCTGGGATCAGCATGGGAGGATCCTCCGGCAGAAAGTGGTGGTCCTCATACTCAGAGGTCAGTGAAGGCAGCTCCTCTTCCTCACCAGACACCATCTGGTTTCTCTGCTCACCTTCTGCTCTGACCTTCAGGTCTCCAGTTGGAGATCGTGAAGGTCACAGATGGGGACCCATCGGTGTCCCTTCCTTTTAAAATCCCTGCTCCTCTGGACGAGGACGTCAGGGTGGAGTGGACCCGGCCGGACTCCAGACAGACCGAGATCATCACCTTTAGGAACGGAGAGCTTCATTCACCCAAGCAGATCCTGGGTTACCATGGCCGCACAGAGATGGACAAGGACCTGCTGGCGTCTGGAGACCTCAGCCTGGTCCTGAGGCGTCCCCGTCCTAAAGACAACGGCCTCTATAAATGCTGCGTCTACAGCAGAGAGCAGATCCAACAGACGAAAATGGTGACGCTCAGCGTTGGAGGTCAGTAGATACCAGCCAGATCGGACCCACCACAAGCTGCCAACAGGGCAAAACCCACCGGTCTGATGGTTCATGTTCTGAAGAGAAGGACCCATCGACCAGGATGCTGGGAGCAGAACCAGTACCCTGAGCAGTAGACTTCCTGTAAACCAGGGTCAACACAGGTCACAGGTAGCTTCAGGTGCTTCTTCAGTCTCTGAATGATGAGCTGATGGTCCTTCTGTCTGCAGAACCGCTGGAGGCCAGCTTCACAGACCGACTGCTGGGGAAAACATCCAGAGATCCTCCTGCAGAGTAGGTGTCCTCCTGTTCTACCATCTGATTGGTTATCATCAGAGATGTTCTACCATCTGATTGGTTATCATCAGAGATGTTCTGCTATGATTGGTTATCATCAGAGATGTTCTGCTATGATTGGTTATCATCAGAGATGTTCTGACATCTGATTGGTTATCATCAGAGATGTTCTGATTGGTTATCATCAGAGATGTTCTGATTGGTTATCATCAGAGATGTTCTGATTGGTTATCATCAGAAATGTTCTACCATCTGATTGGTTATCATCAGAGATGTTCTGATTGGTTATCATCAGAAATGTTCTACCATCTGATTGGTTATCATCAGAGATGTTCTGCTCTGACTTTGCTGACATGTTTGTTCCCCACTGGGCAGTGGGTCCATGTTCCCTCATGGCCTGACTGATTCCCCACACCCTCCATCTCTGTCGTTGTGTCTTTGGGTCAGGCACTTCGCCTGGCCTGCTGCTGGTGGTGCTCAGCAGGGGGCGCCAGTGCCTGGCAGCCTGGCCTCTGTCAGACTGCCCCAGGGCAGCTCTGGCTACTATCCAGTAGCTCTCCATGGTCAGAGGGTGAATGCAGACTGTGATAGATGAAATGTTGGGAGCCGGTTTCTCAAACGAACTGATTGGACTCCCAGCATTCAGCAGCAAGGCACTTTGAACTGCCTGCTGCTGAAAATAAATAAAATAACTTACCTTCATGGTGCTGCAGAACATCATTGCTGATGTTACAAAAGCTACATAAAATCAAACTCTGCTGGTTCTCCTCCATTGGGACCCAAACAAGAATCCATGTCATGATCTGGGGTGTGTGATGGTGAGGCAGAACGCAGACGGACCCAGGTTGAAAGATGGTGATTTAATGAAGATTGGCTCAAACACAGTCCAGCTCAGGCAGAACACTAGCAACAGCTAATTACTGGTAGCAACTGAAAGGCTAAGACTGAAGACGAGAGCAGAGTAGACACAGGACTTCACCGTACGACTGTGTGCAACTACAGACAAACGACGAGGATCCAACTAGAGACAACAGGTGGGACTAAACACACTGGGAGGGAACTCGGGGAACGAGACACAGCTGGGAACAAATGGAGGAGACAGGACAACACAGAAAAACAGAAACTAAACTCTGAAAGAGTTCCTGCAATAAGGGAGGAATCTGTCGTCTTATCAGTAGCCAAGGTTAAATTTAAACAAGTTCTGGATGATAACTGACCAATCAGATAGTGGAGAGGGAACAACTGCAGGTGGTTCAGAGCATCACTGAGCCCTGCAGGTCAGTGATTCATGTCAGTGATTCAGGTCAGTGTTTCAGGTTGAGGCTGCTCCTGCGTTGCTCGGTCTCTTTGGGCCTCCAGAGGTCTCATCTCTCTCGTCTCTCATGTCTCTCATGTCTCTCCTGTTTTTCTGCCTCCAGCTGCCACATCCTGGCTCTCAGCCTGGCAGATGATTTGACTTTGGCACCATTTGTTGGCAGGTGGATGTTTTTAACAAGGTCAGAGAAAATGTGGCGGTGGTGGGTAAACATGACCCTCGTCTGGAGGCCGTCGTCCTCCATGTCACAGGTTTGAGTCCCAGCCTGGTGACCTTTGCCACGTCTTCTGTTCTGGCTGCAGTTACATCCACACTAATGTGCCAACATCACACCACACACAGTAGTTCAGTCACAACACATTTATATTTGGGTTTTTAGTCTAGGATTTAATTCATAGAATATCTGGGTTTTGTTTAGAAGCCAACACATCGTAACACTGTATTCTGGAACAACTCCGCACATTTTAGTTTACACTGTCATGTTTAGCTTGATTTAACGTTTGTTTGTTCTCTGAGTTTCCTGAGTGATGCTCCAGCCCTTCAGCAGAACGAGGAGGTGGAGCAAACCTGAGACTGCAGATTGGTTCATCCTCATCATGGGGTTCCTATGGTAGCTTCAGTCAGGGTTTTGGGTGTTTTCCTCTTTGTGTGGCCTGATCAGCCAGTATTTAAGTTTCCCCTTTGTCTCATTTAGAGACGTCTGTTTGTTTGAGTCAGTCTGAGATGAAATCTGTTACTTTATGGGCCCAATTTTGTCATTTTTCATTATTTACCCAAGTTTCTGTTTTGGGTTGAATAAAAACTATTCTTTTTGAATCTAACCCTGTGCCTGGTTCTCTGACTGCTCGGTTCTTCACATCCTCCCTCTTTCTTGTTAGCCTCTTTCCTGCCTCTCAATAAAGGCCTGCAGAGCCAATGAAACCTGAGAAGGAAGAAGGAATGTTTTGTTTTTCTTTTATTGAACCTGATTTAACTTCTGGAAAGCTGAGCTGGTTTGGTGACCTCAGCATGGTGAAGTAAAGAGGATCATGGTTAAAGTCTGAATAGATCTGTAGCTGTGCTTCAGGAGAACAAGAGATCCTCAGAGATCCTCAGAGATCAGATTTGTGTCATGAAGGTTTATTGAAGTCCAGAACCAACCGATGCTGTAAACCAGGGGTCCCGAAGCTGAATGCCGGACCTCATTTGGTCCGGCCCCCTGAACAATACCAGAGAGAATTCAGTGTTTTTTTTTATATATGTGG